CATGTGACACTTGTTCTGTGATCTTAGTGTGAGAAAATGAGGCTTGTTATGCATTTTTTAATGGTTAAGTTTGATAGATATTGTTATATACATACATACAGAAGCTGTCAAATAGCATGCTTACTAGTAAACAAAACAGCGAGTTGTGCAAGGGGTATTGTGGTCTTTTTGCTGAGGGAATGTCAGAATATTCCTTATCTAATCATTGGCAGATGGCGCCATGTGTATTTCCTCATTAAGGTAGGAATTTGAGCACAAGGTTCACTATGTATATCCTGTTATAGCATTATGTCTCTTTGAGCTTTAAAAAAACATCCTTGTGACCTACATTGGGAGCATACTTGAGACACCAAAACAATAACCATTTCCTGAGTTAAAAAAGATCCTATAGTGAGCTAAATTTACCTAAAAAATGTGTATTGAGTGTACGAGTACTTAATGATGATGAAGATGCTTAGTTGTAGTTGTTTTCTAGTGCAAGAAGGCCTTATTTGAGTAGTCCAATTCTGTTCCAACCGTTTCCAAAGGTGGACAAGGTCTAAGGCAAGTTTGGTTCAATTTATTACATTTGCAGAGTGCTTGGTTGTGACCATTTTACTGCTGCAGTTTCATTTGATATCTCAGACCTGTGTATATGCATGTTTTAATGGTTTAACATGTTGATTTTAGCTTATAATAATTATATCTTGTTGTGAGTTGCTCTATTATCATCTAAGCAAGTTTTTATAGCTGAATCAAGGCTGTTGAAGTTGATCTCTGTACAAAAATATGGCCATTTGTGTTTTTGACCTAACAAAACCTTAGTTTTGAAGTTTGCTGCTATATAAGGCCTGTTTGTGGACTGTGATTGTGTATACATGCTATATTCATCTTGATTATCATCGGAGCATGTTTATATTGAAGATATAAGGCTTTAGAATTCATCTCTTGGACTGTCTTCACACGAAATTCCAATTTTACCCTCAGACCACAGTTTCTGCAGAATGAAGACTAAGCGTTGTTAGTTGTTACTTTGAGCTGTGTATTTTACTCCTTTCATTTGTATAAGATAAAATAGAGTTGTTATTTACATATTTTATGTATTTGGTGAGTTGTGAGAGCTCAAAGGGTCCAAGCAGGGGTGCTTAGGACAGTGGGAGTGCTGTTGAGCACCAAGTGGGGTTAGTGTGTGTGTAGAGGCTGTAAAAACTAATGTTTCGACTTGTACAAAGGTGTGTGCAGAGTGTGAGATAGTTGAGTATATAACTACTTGCATACAAGTAGTGGATTTGCATTGACTGAGGCCAAGAACCAATATTTTGGATCCCTACTGAGAGGGATTTTCCTTGTAAAACAACTTTGTACTTGTTGATGGCTATAAGGTTCTACAAACAACTTTATTTGCCATTGCATTGATTCTGAAAGTTATCTAAGTGCTTAAGAAAAGAGAAGGAAGAACCATTTAAACCCTCCCCCCCCCCCCCCCCCCCCCCCGCGCGGGGTTCAATATAAACAATTCTTCATCATGTTTAACATTAGTATTGCAAACAATAATTGTTTCAAGCTATTTTACAGTTTTGGTGAGACCTAGAATGAAATCTGATGGAATTGAAGAGAAATTGTTATTTGGCAGTTGTAAATTTTAAAAGCAATTTTGTTGAGAGTATAGGATAGAGAGAAAAAATAGCAAACTTCGTATAGAATTCAAATTCCAATATAACTTAATAATGTGAATTTAATTTCTTCTAAATCTTTGTTTGAGATCCTTTTTCATTAAATTTTCAAATAATTTAAACTAAAACATTTTCCATTAAATATTCAAATAATTAATTAAACCTTCAAATAATTTAAACTAAAACATTTTCCATTAAATATTCAAATAATTAATTAAATCTTCAAATAATTCATACTAGAATTAAGTTTGAGATGTGTAGTATTGTTAGTCGTTCAAATAGTATGATCTCTTGTGAAAAAGATAGATTGAGAGTACTAGATTAATATTATATAATATAAAATAAAAAAGAAACAAATAAATCTCTAAGACAAATATGTTTATTTTTCTTTATTCGTTTTGGTGGAATCTACTACATATATGTCATTACCCTTAAATTTGCAAATTTGGTGAATTAGCCATGTCTTAAGTTTTTATTATTTATTAGGTTAAAGTACAATAACACCTCTTGAGATTTGACATAAGGACAGATAGACACAAGTTGGTCTATTCTTGAACAATGATAACCCCTTGTCAAAAATTGAATCCAAATAGCTCCTTAAAAATTATAAAAAGTTAATATTGCCCTTTAATATTTTACTAATTTAAATTATAAAATATCAAAACTCTTAAATGACGCTTTTACCCTTACACACTCATTACAACTCTATATATATGTATGGGTGGTGGATGTCGTGGCCGATCGGATCTTTGAGGCCAATTTGGGTGTATAGTGGTTTAAAAGAAAATTGAGTTTTTCAAATGTGTTGTACTCCGTAATCCATTTAAATTTATTTGATCAAAGAGTATTTAAGTCAATTGTATTTGTCAATTTTATGTCAAACTTGAGGAGTATCCAAAAATAGATCAACTTGTATCTAGTTATCCTTATGCCAAACCTCAAGTGATGTCACTGTACTTTACTCTCTTTATTATTATTATTATTGGTCCTGCATGTATCAAGTGAAGTATTCATCGTTCAATAATGTTAGAACCTGTTTGGCGAGCTTTCTGATAGCTTCCAGGTTTCCAATCCTATGAAGCCCTTTTAAAAAAAATGAGTGTTTGGTTAACTAAGATAAAAGTAATTCCAACAAACGTCAAAGTCCTAAAAAGCAAAGCTCGAAAAACTTGCTTTTGGAACTTATTTTTAAGAAAGTCATGCTAATTTTAAGTAACAAATTTTAATTACAATTTTATCTTTATTTTAAAAGGAAAGAACACAAGACGTAGAGGATTTGCAGAAAAAAATTCCTATTGATTTCCATTTAATCTAAGACTTGGAGGATTTGTAGAATAATATTTTGATTGATTTCCATTTGATTTAAAAAATTAAGGAGCAAAAGAGTTATAAAGATATCTGAACTCTTATCCAAAAGTCCAAAAAAAATCCAAAAAAGTTCAAACTCTCCATAGAATTGTGAACGACGTTTCTAACTCTCAATATATATAAATAATAGATTTTTTTTAAGACCTTTCTTTTACTTATCAAGTTAGGGTTTTGATATAACTAGAAATAAGAATGAAAGTCAGTCTGAATAATTATGCTAAACTGTAACAATATCTCTCATCGTTTTATTTTTTTCCCTTCAACTTCTATCGATATGTAAATGTTGATCTTCACTTTGTCAACAACGTATCTACAATAAAAGTATGAACAGCATTGATGTGCCAATTAATTATTGCTCCATCATCTCTGATTTTCACTCTATTAATCTAATTATCTTTTTTTCATTTTTTTTTTCTTGCTAAATCCCGATTAATTCAACTATGCTGTCACGTTTGTACTATTTATGATAATTAAGGATAAAATTGTCCAGTTAAATAATGTTTATTCAAAATAATTTTTTTAAAAATACATCAACCAAACAAATTTTTTTTTTTTTCTTTAAATTCCTTCCATTAAAATGTATTTTGCAAAGCCCATTAAATGAAAGGAATTTGAAGATCAAGAAACTCCCCCCCAAACAGAGCCTTAATCTTTTTGGTTGACCAACTTGCGGATTTTAACTTTCATTTTCATTTTTATTTTGTCTTGCAGCTATGTCTAACTTCCCATTTGTTGTTGCTAGACCTTCCTCTGTTTTTTTTCGAAGACCTTCTTGGCAAAAGAAACGAGCGGATAAGTACGAAATAGAAACGAGCGGATAAGTACGTATTCGTTGTTGCCAAAAAAAAAAAATATATTAAACAAACGAGCGGATAAGTACGAAATATATAATGAGAGAGTAGAGAGAGACGCAAGTGCCGGAAGGTAATAAAACCCCATTTGTTTCAGACTTTTGTTTTTTATTTTATTTTTGCATTAAAATTTGTTGTCATTGACTTGACATGTGCAATAGATCGAACGATACACGTCTATGGAAATTATTGATATCCCGGCGTCAGTTTAATCAAAGATAACTAAAAAGACATTTCACTACATTTAGCAGTGGGGTGAAAATGATTACATTATCTTAATATTGCTTCAGTCTCCCAAAAAAAAAAATATATATTTTGTTTATAATTTATAATTTTTTAAATAAAATATTTAATTTAGGAAGAAAATAATATTTATAAATAATAAAAAGTCATCTTTTTACCTACATAAATAAATAAAAAGATGAAATATGTACAACTCTTTGATTAATTATTATTTAATTTTTTCATCTTTTTAACTCTCACTTTAAAATTTAAAGATATACTATATTAAATGATTAATTTAATTTTTTTTTTTGAGATCTCAAAAAATTGCTCAAATCCGATAGTTAAATAGGAAGAATACATGATTCTCTTAAAAGCAATACTTTCAAGTATTATCAAAAAATGTAACTTAATAGTTCTTCCTTGCATATTGAGAGTTTATTTGGTCCGAGGAATGGATTGAAAAAGGGAAAATTTTATTTATTTATTATTTATTTGTTTTGGAGGGAAGAAAAAAAAGAAGCATCCCACCTTGGTTTATATTTTTTTTATCCGTTCAAAAGTGGGGAAAGGGGAGAGTGAAAGAAGGAATAATTACTACAAATATGTAATTTTTATTTTTAATATTTTCAAAAATTTGAAATGAATATATATTTTTGAGTTATAATTTTATATGATGAGTGTATATTAGTAAAAAAAATATATATATTAAAAATTCTCTTTTCTTTTCTTTTAATAAAAAAAATAATTATGTCTACTGTCTATTATATTCAACCAAACAAAAGGCCTGAGACATATAACATATTATCCATCATTTTCTTTTTTTATCTTTTTTATTATTATTAGCTCCTTTAAAATTATTAGAAAAATGATTATCATCCCGTAATTTTCCGAGTCGATCTCTTAACGTAGCCACGGACATGTGAGTGCGTGCATGTATTATTTATTTATTATTTTTTACTCCGTATTTTTTTATTTTTTATTTTTATTTTTATATTTTTATCAATAATCAAAAAGAAAAATTTCTCTCAGACATTTATAGCTGGTGGACATTGTGATCTCATAGGAGTAAGGGGCAAAAGAGAGGCCAAAGACTTACACAAATCGACCTTAGCTTTGCTCTGATTCAGTTAAAATCCAAAGCATAGACTGCCAAAACTATATATGTGTGTGTATATATATATATGTATGTACTTCTAAATCCATCCATTTTCAGCTGTGATTATCTATCTAAAAAATCTGCAATTAATGGATTTCTATCTGCGATGGATCGTAGATTACACCGCCGCTTTTCTGGTTTGTTTTAGCTTCGCAATTGAAGTCTTTCTACTACATTAGGAATATATATATATATATATATATATATATAATTGTTCTCTTTTTGTGTGATACAGAATTAAAAGGGGAAGATGAATGTGTCCAAGTCTCAGGTATGGCAGCCTTGTAAGAAGAAGAGATCTTGATTTCATATATCCAATATACATGTATATATATAGATAGAGATGGAAGAGCTTAATTTTTAGTGAGAGATAAACAATGGATGGTATATGTATCCAACTAAGTGTAAAGTGAGGGCAGTTTTTGAAACAAATAATAAAAAAGATCGATCTCGAAGCTGGTTATATATATATATATATATATATATATTGAGAAAGAAAGAAAGAAAGAAAGAAAGAAAGGAATGGGTTCTCGCTCTAGCGGAAGTAGTAGGACTAGTGTGGGGAAGTACGAGCTGGGACGGACGCTTGGGGAGGGAAGCTTTGGGAAGGTGAAATTTGCTCGGAACATGGAGACTGGTGACAACGTGGCTATCAAAATTCTCCATAAAGAGAAAGTTCTCAAGCATAAGATCATCGCCCAGGTACCTACTTTTTTTTCTCTATATTAATTGATCCCTAACTTTTATTTTTTTGTTATTATTATTTTTTGGGTATAGTTTGTGTTTTTTTGTACGGAAATCCTATTTCAAAAGGTTTGACCTGAAATATCTTTTTGCTTTTCTAGTGTATTTTTGGATGTTGTCATTAATTAACGATGCTGAGAAAACCACTTCAAGCTTTATCCTTGGATAAATAAATAAACTGAAGCTTTGTTTTTTTAATCAGTGTTGTGCAAATTAGTACAGTATTGCTTAGTAATTTAGGAAACTTAGAGACTATAAGGTTCAGTTTCCTTTCTCTTTCTTTTCCCCCTTCTGATTGTCTGGTTCTACTTTTCAGCAACCAAACAGAGCTAATTAGTATTCTTTCTCCTTTTCCTTGCATTATTATGTTGATCATAACAAACAAGGCTATTTATTCTTTTTCCATATATATTGAAAATTTTTATATGAAGCTCAACTTCGTTTTGTAATTAATATTTATGGTAATTAACAATGTAATCGTGTTTGGTTATTGCAGATTAAACGTGAAATTTCAACCATGAAACTAATCAGACACCCAAATGTCATCCGCATGTACGAGGTTAGAATTTGTTCCAACGTGTAAAACCGCCCTCTTGTATAAACATCTGACATTGCTTCTGATTTGGTTTACCGCCCATATACATTTTTCATTTTTAGGGTCTGTCTTTAATGTACTTGTATCCTTAGAACACATATACTACCAATCTCATGTTCTTAACTCGACTATTATCGCTTACAACTTTTTTGCAGCCGCTTCAGAGTTTTTTTTGTTGTTGGAAATGTAGTGTCATTGTTCTATGTATGTAGCCTTGTTAGTTCTATGTATGTAGCCTTTGTGGACTCGTAAATGACGAACTTGCTAAATTTGTAGTGCTTTATTTCTCTGCTATATTTTTACGGTAGATATATCAATGGACAAGTTTCTGTTTTTTGATGACCGACCTCATACGTTTCTTGTGTGAATTGATCGAGATCTTCCGCTTGTAGGTTATGGCTAGCAAGACAAAAGTATACATCGTTATGGAATTCGTGACTGGTGGTGAACTATTCGACAAAATTGTAAGAAACTGCTAGTTCAATTCTTCATTTGCTTCCAATTCAATCCTGTTCTTTGCAACCAGTAATAAAGTGGCATTGCATATTTTAAATATTTTATCTGAACCAGGCTAAGAAAGGAAGGTTTAGAGAAGAAGAAGCTAGAAAGTACTTTCAACAGCTCATTAATGCGGTGGATTACTGCCACAGCAGAGGAGTTTTCCATAGAGACCTCAAGGTGAGAAAATTTATATTTTTTCATCCCCCTGTTTTCCCCTACATGTTTCTTCAATCGAGCCTCCAAGGTGATGAGCAAATCTGTTATACAGTGTTAAATAAACCATCTATGGTTTGTAATTCACAGCCAGAGAATCTACTGCTGGACGCAAATGGAGTTCTTAAAGTTTCAGATTTTGGATTGAGCGCGCTACCTCAGCAAGTTAGGGTGAGCGTGTGAAGCTTAATTCCTGTCATTTGGGAAATGTACTTTTTCATTAGTAAATTATTATCTGCATCCTAGTATTAGAAGATGTTCAAACTTGCATCGGCATTGCCTCATTCTATGTTGCCTCCACCTTCTTCATCTCATTAATTCAAATTGACTATAGTTGTTGTACTTTCACAACTTAAAACACACATTTCATCATCCACAAAAGAATTCAGAACTGAGTTTTTGAATCCTTGCATTCAGGAAGACGGGTTACTGCACACGACATGTGGAACTCCAAATTATGTTGCTCCTGAGGTATGCTTTTAGCTTCTGGTTATTACATCATCTCTCTTCTGAACCATTCAGATCTCTTAACTCTTTACCTTCTAGGTTATCAATGATAAAGGTTACCATGGTGCTAAGGCAGATCTGTGGTCCTGTGGTGTAATTCTTTTTGTCCTTCTGGCAGGCTTTTTGCCTTTTGAAGAGCCGAACCTTGTGGCATTATATAAAAAGGTGATTTCTTACCGTTTATTTGTTTTCAAAAACCCTCTCCTTTTTTTTTTTTTTTGTTGCAAATTTTGTGAATTTGCATGGTGTTCTTTTGAGGCCAGTGATTTTTTTAGAGTACTGTTCAATCTTCTATGTTATTTTTAGGACTCAATCAAAGCATCTTCATTGAACATCATTCATTAGTGCCCATTTCATTTACATCTAGTTCTAACATTAACCAATCAAAAGAATGACAAAGGACCAAAAAAGAAAAAAAATCATTTAGGCATGAGTTTCAATAATCACGGTTTACACGTCTAAGCGAGCATTGTAATAGAAGTGACATATTTGCCAGACATTGGTATAAGCTATAGATTACATGGACTCTTCAAAAGTTGGTAAAGTACTCCTATTGGACACATATGAGATATGTGTCTGACACCTTTGGTTGAACATGCAGCTAAAAAGATATATCAAATAATTCAATTTTATTATAGGGAAAATTGCAGTGACACCCCCCTAGGTTTGCCTCAAAGACAGGTAGATACAACTTAGGTCATTTTTGGACAATGACATCCCCCAGGTTTGCAAACTTAAACAATGACACCCCATTCTATAAAAAAGGAGCCAAACATTGCCTTAATTGACATGAAATGTCAAATATGCCCTAAGATATATTTTAATTCTCTCATAAAATGACCAAACTACCATTTCCTTTTCTTTCTCTTTTCAATCCTCTTTTTGCCAAACACATATTCTCGTCTCTCTTTTTCAACCTCTCATCTCAGTGGTGGTAGCGAAGGTTGTGGGTGAAGATGTGGTGGTTGGGTGTTGGCGGCGGCAAAGGTCGTGGGTAAAGATGCGGTGGTCGCCATCTCCCCAACCACAGCCGTCGCCGCCATCTCTCCTCAACCACCACTTCTTACACCATGACCACCACATCTTTCTCCCTCTATTTCTTCTGTGTTTTATATACCATACATATATTTATATACACAGGCCCACACACAGATATCCAACTGAAATCATATACTGCCCAAATGGAGACGATGGATTCTTTTGATTGCTTTTATTACCACTTGATGGGGCTTCAACGAGAATGGATCAATATGAGAGGGGTTGTTGTGTACAACAAGAAGATTTTGGGCTCCGACGAAATAGCGCAGCCAATTATTGCGTGCAAGAACTTGATCGCAACCCAGCTATCGAACGACTGGTACAGATCCCTGACGCCGCTGCCTTCACCTTCTTCTCTCCTCGTGACACCTACAACACACACACACACACACACACATAACCCCAGCCGACACCGGAATCATATCGCCGCTGCTAGCCACCATCACCGAAGTCCAATCACATCACTTTGGTCGTCACCGTCGCCGGATCCCAAGAGAAAGACTTGTAGAAGTTTCAAGTGAACCAATCTTCTCTCATCAACTGTGAATGTTTCCATAAAAATTTTGAAGCCAAAGGTTGTGGGTGTCTCAACCGCAATCTTTTTGCCCTCGCCGGTGGCATAAGTGGCCAAAATTCTGAAATTGGGATCGGTTTGGGGGGGTTGTTTGGATTGTGGGTTTGTGAATAGAGGAGGAGATGAGATGAATGGTATAGAGTGAACCCAATTGAAGCAATAACAAGCTTTCAGTGAGATTGAGCTTTATACAAAAGGGGGTATGGTAGGGCTGTGATAGGGTGGTGGTGGGTTCGTTTAGGAGTGGTTGTGGACAGTGGTGGTGGGTCGAAATTGGTGGTGGGTTCATTTGGGAGTGGTTATGGACGGTGGTGGTGGGGCGAAATTTGTTATGGGTGTGATGGGGTGGTGGCTGGTTCATTTGGGGGTGATTGTTGACGGTGGTGGTGACTGGTGGGTTAAAATTGGTTGTGGGGGTGGTTGTGGATGGTGGTGGTGGGTTGAATTTGGTTGTGGGTGTGATGGGGTGGTGGGCTATGTGTGTAAGAAGGGGGATAAGGCCAAATTTGGGGGTGGTTGGGCTCTTGGTTTCTGGACGGTGGTGGTGGTGGTGGTTGGGTGTGATAGTTGTGAAGTGATCCAAACAGAGAGTTGAGAGTTATTTTGGTCAATTTATAGAAAATTATAAAGTTAATTAATCAATTTTGAAGTCAAAGGGTAAACATGTACTTTCATCACGTTTAAGGTGTCTTTGTTCGGTTTAGCAAACCTGGGGGGTGTCATTGTCCAAAAATTGCCTAAGTCGTATCTACCTGTCTTTTAGGGAAACCGTCCCCGGGGGGGGGGGGGGGGGGGGGGGTGGTTGAATTTACCCTTTATTATATTATTCATTCAAAATGAATGAAAAGACTTTATTTTACTTTCTTTTATATATATATATATATTAAATAATATGAATATTTTGCAATGTCCTTGTGCCCTTTTGTTGGGGAATTTGACATGTCTGATACTTAGATACATGCTCTTGCCCTACCACATACCTGAGTCCATATAACAAGTGTATAAGATTATCTTATGCATAACAGCATAAGGATGTTATCTTCCATGGTTTACTTCTTAAAAACCTGACTGACTGCACATAATTGCAGATATTCAAGGCTGACTTCACATTCCCTCAGTGGTTCTCCTCGAGTGTAAAGAAACTAGTCAAAAGAATCCTGGACCCTAATCCCTTAACAGTAAGCAAACTTTTCTGTTGCTCTTTGATTGAAGTACTGTATAGTTTGAAAATTTTACATTTTTTATTAACAGATTTGATTGCCCAATGCCTCATGGGTTACGTTGCTGGTAAAATCTGTTATCCTTTGTAATTCATCAAGTCTGTATAATTTTATGGTATGAAACAGCGCATTACAATTGCTGAGGTCATTGAGAATGAGTGGTTTAAGAAAGGATATAGGCCACCCAGTTTTGAACAGGCAGATGTTAGTCTCGATGATGTGGATGCTATTTTTGATGAATTAGAGGTAATGGGATCTTGTTTATGGCAATGCTATTTTCTTTTTAAGTTATTATCATGTATCTTCCTGTTTAATATAAATGGAGAATTTGACATCAGAATGCCTTTGTCAATGTTGTTCCTCTTGCCTTATAGGACTCTCAAAACCTTGTCATGGAGAAGCGCAAAGAACAGCCTGCAACTCCTGTCACTATGAATGCTTTTGAGCTTATTTCTACATCTAGGGGTTTGAACCTTGGATCTCTTTTTGAAAAGCAAATGGTATGTCATCAGCTTGTAGCTTTGATTATTGAATTTGGAACATAAAGTATCATGTATGTCTTTGTTGCATCATGAATGGATCAGGATGATATTTGCAATCCTGAATTCCTGATCCTTGAAGTATCTTCAAACTGTTCAGGACACTTATTTTCTGACAATTCAAATGATTTAGATGTATACAAATCTCAGTTGAGAATACAGCTTGGTTTTTCAGAAATAATTACTAACCAAAAAGTCTTAGTGTATTATAATGAATGTTGCTCACAGTCTCATTGTTAAATGGTGCAGTTTGTCGCTTCTGATCTGATCTGGTTTGGTAATGTGCTTTAAACATGAAGCTGTGCATGACTGACATTTCCTTTGATGAGCAGGGGCTTGTTAAGCGAGAAACAAGATTTACATCTAGATGCCCTGCTGACGAGATTATTTCAAAAATTGAGGAAGCTGCCACGCCTATGGGTTTCGACGTAAAGAAAAACAAGTACAAGGTAGATTAAAGCATCATGTTTCTCCGTCTTTTTTCCTACTTATAATTTTTCTCAGTCTCATCCTTAATTATATTTAGTTTTGTTTCATTTATGTTATTCCCATAACAGTTCAGCATGAGTTTTTTAATTTTTTTTTAGAATAGCTAGGTGTTTATACCAAATGATGTGTTTTCCTGCATCCTGATTTCACTACCTGTAGCCTTTTATTTATTTTTATTTTTTATTTTTATACTTGCTAGTTTCCAGGTTTGATGGATGTCAAACAACCCAGTGGTACTTGGTCCTTAGCAAGCTCATAATACTATTGGAGTAGATAAATATTATTGATGAACAAGTTCAGTACTATTCTCCCGCTTAGTAAATCCTTTTTGTTATTTATCTCAGATGAAGCTGCAAGGGGAGAAAACTGGGCGCAAGGGTCATCTAAATGTTGCAACAGAGGTACGATTTTTTGTGATCCCGTTCTTCAGGGGTCTTGTTTACTGAAAACTGACTTGTGTATTAGTCAAAGCAATGTTGAGCTGGTTCTGAAGATAATTTGCTCCCACAGATTTTTGAAGTCGCTCCCTCACTTTACATGGTTGAGCTTCGCAAGTCTGGAGGGGATACCTTAGAATTTCACAAGGTATTGTAATAAAATCCATTTGAGTAAGCATTTATTTGAACCTCTTTTGTTCTATTTTTTATTTAATTTTTATATGCTTATTTTGTTTACCATGATATGTGTACGTACCGATGGCTATTTGACCATATGGGTGCATTGTCCATGTTTGATCTGCCAGTGGGCTGTCTCAAACTTTTTGATTTCAGGACTAGCAATACCAAAGTGCTTAACTATTGGTTGCATTTTGTCGGGTCCTGGTCAAGGTTGATTAGGGCCATTAGATGCATATTTTCAGGCAGGAGCAAGGCCGATGATTCTAGCATAATCTTTTGCCCTTGTTGGTCCTCCCACATATACATTATAGTAACAGAACCAGACATTGAATACACATCGCCTCTCTCTAACCCTTCCGCCGCCCACCTTCGTTCTCTCCCTCTGTTTGCTCCCCACTCCTTCCCATGGGAGTGGGGAGGTGCCGATCCTCTCTAACTCTCTCTCTTTGAAACCCACCCCTTCTTCCCCTCCGTTTTTTTCCCTGCTCCCTTCTCTGGGAGTGAGGAGGTGCCGTTTTGTCTTCTCGCCGTCGTCGAGGATCTCTGTTATCTGAGTCTCTCTCGTTTAATTGAGAGTTTGTGTTTTTCGATCTCATGTTCTGAGCCGTCTCAGCGGATGGATGGTTTTTGGGTCGCCGAAGATGGATCTGTTTGGATGATCCTTTATGGAGCTTCTTTTTGTGAAGCGATTTGCAATGGGGAGTGGATCTGCTGCTTCTGAGCACTATGCCGGAGTCCGACGTCTCTGGTGCTTGCGATGTTGTGCTCGGTCGTCTCCGGCAGTGCTATGACGTCATGGCTGACGTTTTGGGCCGATATTTTTGATGTTCTATTTTCTTTACTGGTGGGCCCGGTCCTTTTTCTATGCTAACACCTTCTAGATATCAGTTGTTGTCAAGGCTGTGATCTTGACATCAGTGGGGGGCAGTCCTATGACGTCATGGCTGACGTTTTGGGCCGATATTTTGGATATTCTATTTTCCTTGCTGGTGGGCCTACTCCTTGGCTATGCTAACACCTTATAGATATCGGTTATTGTCAAGGTTGTGATCTTGACATTAGTGGGGGTTAGTTTTGCTTTGGATAGTTTTGTGTCTTTTGGCTTCGTATGTGTTTCTTTGTTGTATGTATGGTCTATTGTTCTTGCCCATGTAGATGCCGTACCGCGGTTTTCTTGCCAAGTTAAAAAAAAAAAAAAAAATAGATATTGAATACACATCATATAGTTGTATACATTTACCAGAGATTACGCATTTCAAAATACAAAATAACATATATTCAATGCTTTTGCATGATATATTTTGATGTAACATCTTTTACCAAGTAGAAAGAAGCAAGCAAGCTTGTGTATTTCAGTGGAGAGTATAATAAAAGATATAAATGTTGCTCCTAAAAGAAACTGTCTTGTGCTTAATTAGATCACATGACACATGTTAAGCCCACAGGCCACAACTGCGATTCAACGTTTTAGAGTACACATACGATTCTACATTTTCTGCCTGTGCAGGATCCATGATTGCCACCTCTTGCCTAGAAATATGGCCCTATGTTGTAAAAAAATTCTACCATGTGCTTGCGTATTGTTTTATCTGTATTATAAATTTCATGTTTTGTTTTTTTCTTCACATTATCCAGTTCTACAAGAACCTGTCAACTGGGTTGAAGGATATAGTCTGGAAATCAGAAGATGAAACAGTAGAGGAAGCAAATGAAGGTTAGTATATGATACCATGGCAGTTGCAAGATATTTAGTTCAAGTTGAGTACTCTTTAATGGTGTTGTAAGTGATGCAACGGCCAAGTTGGAGAATATTTTTCTGCAACGCAAGGACAAAACTGTGTTTGTACCAAAATTGTATGTTGGATGATTGGGAATGTACGCCCTCATGGTCGCAGCTTCTATTGGCCTTGGAGATTGAATGGGATCCATCACATGTTTATGGGCATGATTGATTTACTTTGCATAATATGTTATTGCTGTCTTATAGACAATTAATTACTTTGAAGATGGTAATTGTTCTCATTCTGTGTTTACAGGTTCTGGTATTGTGCCATCTTGATTATTACATGCCTCTTGTAAAAAGGTTTGTGGTATCTGTGAAATCTCGCAGACTTTTTTTTTTGGTTAAAGTGAAATCTCTCTGACTTTCTTTTTTTTTTTTTCGGTTAAAGTGAAATCTCGCAGACTTGCTATTTGTATCTTGATTGTTTGTATAGTGTTTTGAACTCCGTATTTTGATGTTCCATTCTTTCGGGTTAGGACTTTGTGAAAGAGGACGAGCATTTGGCTTGGTTTGTATCTCTGGTTCAGTAGTGGGATTAAAAATATTTGCTAACTCAATTGCTCGGACTCAACTAAGAAGGCATTAGATTTCAATAATTTAGAGAAACATTTGAAAGAAGCATACCATCTTTCCTTTCCTGTTAAGCAGATAAAAAAGATTAATTTAAAGTGAAATAAATTAAAATTTCTAATTAACTGTAATCCACTAATCACGGAACCGGAATTACGAAAGGAAGTTGAGCAAGAGTAGGAGGATGTGGTGATTTCCATCATTCATTTGATCATATTGTTTGATCATTTTAAATCATGACCAAGTCTCTTACGCTACAAAATACATCATCGACAAGTGCAGAATAATAAATAAGTGAAGGATAATAATTATGAGATATTATAGTTCAACCTTGATGAGTAAAAATTACCTGAAAATCATTATCACAAATGACTAATAGTCAACAAATTTGCAGCTAAACTCTTAACCAAGTAGAACATTCTTTAATCCAACACCCGAAAATCTAATCTTACGTTTACCACTTACTCTAGATACACCATCATTGTTTGGCTTAAAAATGTTAGGAAACGTGTTAGTTTTAAAAACTTTTTGAGAGATTTTGATTCATAGATCTTGATTCATCACATAGAGACAAGTTTTATGCAAAAATAAAATATGATGTATCATTCAATTAATGAATTGAATACTTACATCAAAGGTCTGAGTAAACCTTTAAATCTTTCCTCTAAAGTGAATGTTCTCACTTATTGTAGATCCCTTAGCAAGATGCCTTCTCTTTGGATCCCCATCTTCTTGGTAATTGTTTTGCCTTTAGGAATCACTCATAAGCCTCCATGAATGACCTTGGAAAATTAGGCTTGTGGGAGCCTCCATTAGATGAGAACATAAACCCTAATTTTCTAGAGAGAGAAAATAGATTCCTTTTTCCTTCTTCTAAAAAAATCACCCTCAAAATATACATAGACCATGTATATTTATAGGCAACATAAAGGTAAAGAAAAGGAAACAACGAATCCTTCTCAATCTCTAATTTACATGTCTCAAATCTAATATGATTCTAATATCAAGTTGGGCTATGAGTGAGAATCCATTGGGCCTATTATTTTATTGGCTGCAATGAATTAATAATTGGCCCAGTCCATGGACCCAATTTAATTAATTCATAAATTAATTTTTACTCCACTAAAAGAAATTAATTGAATTCCAATTAAATAATAAATAACTTCTAAGTCAATATTACACTTTGACCCCTCTATGCATAATTAGTTATCGGATAAATAAAGCCATCAATCCGACTACTTAATTAATATATATTTATTTTGGTACCTTTGATTATTTCTAGCTCGATCACAATAAAACATTTGTTTGACAAAAATAATAATTTAAATAAATAAATATATAATAAATCATTTTGTCTAAAAACACGCGAAGGCCTTCGAATTTACTTTGTGATCAACCATAATCAATACAAAATAAATACAAGTAGCAATGATGCAAATATTGAAAATATAACCCTCTAACTATTAATTACATAACTACCCAAAGTGTCGGTCTAAGGATCCCGAAGAATCCGCCGAACAAATCAAAGTAATTATTAATTAATAAAAGAGTTTATACTTTTCTCATGCTTAAGAGTCAAATGCCATGACGGTGATAGGGAGCAATTGCATACGACGGCTCTCGCAATATATCTCAACCTAACGCGGATCCAGTTCAAGTCTTAATTAATTATGAGTCCATCCATAATTACTGACTAAGAACAATTTATGATTACTATTTATATATCATGCATTGATTGCCATCACATACATATATATAAATATCTCTTGTAATCAAATGGACACTATCAATTCTATAATGAATCGAAATATAATACATTGAATTCACCAATTGTATAAAACATAAATATTTCAAAAACGTTAGGAACATATGTCACTTAATCCAAACAGGAATTTGCTATGTCAGGGCATATAAAATCCCAACAGCTCCCACTTGCCCTCATAGCCAATTCAAATTGCACATAACTCTAAGGTTATCCAGATGATGATCAAAATTATTGATCAATGACACCTTTGATAATGGATCAACAAAGTTGTGTTCCAATGCAATGTTCTAGCTACAAGTACATTTTCTTGCCGGACAATATCATGTCGAACATGATACTTCCTCTCAGTGTATCTTGTTCCTCTATAGAACCTTGGGTCATTGGTTTGGACTACTTCTGCACTATTGTCACAACATAACTCCATAGGCAGGCTAGTATACTCCACAACTTTAAATCAGTGAGATCAAACCAATAGGCTTCCTTTGCCGCCTTTAAGGCTGCAATATATTCCACCTGCAGGTTTGAGTCAGCAGTTGAAATCTGCTTAACAATCTACCAACTGATTTCCCTTTCATTAAGTGAACATACACTAAGTCATGAACCTCATAGTATCTACTTCTGATTGAAAATCAGAACTAGCATACCTGACTAGGACCATATCATCACATCCATAAATGAGTATGATATCATTGGTTCTCCTTAGGTACTTAATGATATTTTTCACAACAGACCAGTTATCAAGTCCAGGATTGGACTGATATCATCTGACTATCCCTACAATGTAGCGGATGTCCTGTTCGGTATAGACCATGGCATATATGAGACTCCCATATGCCAAAGCATATAGTTCCAGTCTCATTTGCTCAATCTCCTCTCCCAGTCTTGGAAAACTACTTACTAGAGAGAGCAATCCATATCAATAAAGCAAGAACTCATTCTTTGAGTTATGCATACCAAACTTGATAAAAACTTTTCCAATGTAGGATTATTAAGATAAACCTATTTTACTTTTAACCTGATCTTGCAAAAGCTTGATCATAGAAATATAGCTTACATCTTGAAAATCCTTCATTTAAAAGTAATTGAACAACTACCTCTTTATCGATGACAAAACTTTCACATCATTCTAAATGAGTAGGATGTCATATATATATATAGAATCAGAAAAATAATGACATTCCCTTGTACACTCATGATTTATTCACTAAAAAATCTTCTGGTATCTTTTTGTAGATTAACTTGCCTTCCATAGCAATCACCCTACTAGAAAGTTCTACAAGATCCCAGAATTTATTAGAATACATAGATTCCAACTCTGATTTCATAGTAACTCGCCAAAACGATCTGTATCCATATCGATTCACGCTTCCGTATAGCTTATTGGGTCCAACTCATGTTTAACAGGGATGTCCATAATGGTCTCACCTAAAAACATGATTCTGTCGGATTGGATGATAATCCTCCCATTACATTAATGTACCGATGCAGGAATCTGTGTACTAAATGATGCTGACGCATCAATAGGGAATTCATTTATTATTCTCAATCTCTATAATAAGTGTGTTCACATGTGGTACATCTGGTACTCATACCATATTCTCTAACGTTATGCTACTAGGTATGTAATTCATAATATGATCCTCCTATAGATAAACAGTGAGTGTAAACAATCAACTTTTATCATTGAGATCTTAAAATAATCCATCCTAGTGACTTTTAGAGTAGCTATCAAATCTATCATGCATATGATCTGTTTCCAACTTACTTGTCCATATCAAGCGCACATGTGCAAGACTACCACATATGTGCATGTGATTCAAACTAAGATTTAGTCAAAAACACAGCTCAACGGTATCCTTGAGACAGACTAAGATGGAATGCACTTCATAATGCGCATCGATGTCATTAACGCTAAACTCTTAAATTAAAGAGATAATATAGCATAACTGATCATAGATCTAACCATGTTAAGTGGAATTCTGTTATTCCTATTTGACACCTAAATGTATTTAGCGTCAATTGCGGAAAACTGGTACACAACACCCTCATTTACCATATAGTCTTTGCACTATCCCAAGAAATACTCATATCCTCGATCAGATCGAAGTATCTTGATAAGTTTACCTAATCTGTGCTCCACATCAGTCTTGACTCTCTCGGAATATACCAAAAGTATAAGACTTGTGTCGCAACAGGTAAATTTATCCAAAACGTGAGTAATCTTGCTTGGATGTTCACAAGACCACACGTGTTTGTGTGTACCGACTCCAATTGTCCTTTATATCTATTTCATTTGGCTGATTAAGCCCTTAGAGTTATCTATCCTTCAAAACAAGATTCACAAGTTTGGTTTAGGCTCCTCTGCCTCACTAGGTAATAAACCTTCTTTGACCAATCTTTGAATCTCATTTTGATTGATAACAACCCAAAAATAGACATTAAAAATACAATGAGTCAGAAATAACAAATTTTCTCTTAACCTTCAATCTAGAAGATTCAACATTAGTTTCTACATCCTGCAAATCTTAAGAGCTTGTGGTTATAGTATATTAACCATCTTTCAATGCACCAGAAGTAATCGCATATCTATTCAATTTTATAAAACCAGTTTTACAAAATAACAACACAGTTTTTATAAACCAAAAGTGAAACAAGAATTAGATTGCGTTTAACATCTGTACATAAAGATAGTTCTCTAATACTAATATCCTCATACTCTCTAATTTCAGATGTAATACTCCCACTGACTTAATTACAACTTTGACATCAGGTTAAAAGACAAATATATATCCATATCATCGAGGCTTCTGGATTCCTGAAATCCTTGCAACGAATTGCAAACATGTTTAGTGGCTCCAGAATCTATCCATCAGGAATTAATAGATACAACTACATAACATGGCTCAATGATTAAATATATATTTTCCTATGCCACGTCATTACTTAGACAGTTCGTCCTTGAGTGTCATAGTTAGCGGCAAAAGAAACAATTTAATTTGCCCTCAACATACACTGCCTTATTCCCTTTAACCTTTTGGATACCCATGTTTTGTGCTAGCCTAGTCCTATTATCATCCTTCTTCTTTGCTTTACTCGTCCATTTGGGCCTAGAAGAAGATGGTATAGACTAGGTTAGATTGATAGGAACGCCCATACTCTTGATTATCCCTTCATCTGTTACCAATTCTATAAGAATATCAGCGAGTGTAAACTTAAACTAAT